GCAGCTGTTACAGTAGAGTGACAAGTTTCCCCAACCCCAAAGGTCCCAACTCCATATAAAGTCACCCCACAACTTCACTTAGTAACCGCCGCAATTGTAACGCAAGCTCATGAACTTTGAATCTTCATAGCTTTCGCGTTCTTGCTCCGATTGAAGCGATTCTTGTTGCGTCGGAAAGATCTTCTCAAGATCTATTATCACAAATACCTGCTCAGACAGAATAACACAAAACACATTCCCAAACTCCAGAACACACCACACACAAATGCTTGCACATTCAAACCACACATGCAAGTTGAAAAAACATGGGATGGGAGGCAGACAGAATGTGATAGCATATGATGACATCACACAACAATCTCCCCCTCTGGCTGCCAACCATCATCGACCATACCACATCTCAAGCATGCATACTCAATGCACACTCATCCCAGCAAGCTTCATGCCCTTCCAATGATCCGCCTCCGCAAGACGCTTAGTGAAAATATCTGCTGCCTGCTGATGGGTCTTCACTATCTCCAGCCGCACCTCCTTATCAAGGATTCTCCTCACCCAATGCCACTTAGGCCTTATGTGTTTTGTCAGCCCATGCAGACAAGCATTCTTGGCCAGCTTCACTGCAGACTCATTGTCACAGAACACAACTGTCGGCTCCTCCTGACCAACTCCCAACTCCTCCAACAAACGCCTCAGCCATACCACTTCCTTGGCCCCATGGTGTAAGGCCATGTACTCAGTCTCACATGAAGACAATCCCACCTCATTCTGCTTCTTGCTGCGCCAGCTCACAGCACCACCTCCTAGCAAGCACACATAACCCCCAATGCTGGTGCCATCCGCTTTCACTGAGTTGAAGCTAGCGTCAGTATAGCAACTCAAGAGCATCTCTCCACTCTTCACATCTGCAGCACCTCTCTGCAACCGCTGCCTCACTCCACTGTACTCCAATCCCACTGATGCCGTAGCGCTCACATAGCGGACCAACCTCTTGGCCGCTTCCAGCTGCTCATGACTAGGGCGTGAGACCACACTAGCCAATCGTGATGTAGCAAATGCAATGTCAGGCCGTGTATGATTTGCAGCATAATTCAGCGACCCAACCATCGAATGAAACAGCTTCCTGTCACTATCACCCACTACCTCCTCATCAGCACATGGCTCCACAGTAAACCCTGAAGGTAGTGGTGTTGCTGGCTTTCCCCCATCTTGCAGCCCATACTTCTCAGCCAGCCCCTCACAGTACTTCCTCTGGTGCAACCTCAGCACACCCTTTTCCACATCTCTCTCCACGTGCATCCCCAAGTAGTACTTCACCTCACCCATCTTGGAGCACTTGAACTGCATCTCCAGCATCTGCTCTGCGCTGTCCAGCAAAGCAGTGGATGCAGAAAAGAGAAGGATATCATCCATATACACCAAGAGCATGAGGATTTCGTCCTTCTCCTGCAGCAGGAACAGGCTGGGGTCACACTCACTCTTCTTGAAACCCCCAGCCAACAGCGCCTCCTCCAACTTGTGATACCATGCACGAGGCGCCTGCTTAAGGCCATAGATGGCCTTCTTCAGCCTGCAGACCCTGCCGCTCCCGTCATCCAGCCCCTCTGGCTGCTTCATGTACACCTCCTCCATAATGATCCCATTCAGAAAAGCAGTCACAATGTCCATCTGCCGTATCTTCCATCCCAGGAGTGCAGCTATCGCTAACAGCACCCTCAGTGTTGTTCCTTTCCCCACAGGAGCAAACACCTCATCATAGTCCTTCCCTTTTGTCTGCTGAAACCCCCTTGCCACAAGCCTGGACTTGTAGCGGGTCAGCTCCCCTTCAGGTCCATACTTGTGCCTGTAGATCATCTTGGAAGTGATTGCCTTCTTTCCAGGAGGCAAGTCACACAGGTCCCATGTCTCGTTCTCAATTAGGGACCCGAACTCCTCATCCTCACTCGCCTTCCACTTCTCCCCATTTGGTCCATTCAAGGCCTCCTCTCGAGTCTTGGGCTCAGGGATTGGTGCCCAGTAGCAGTGAGCGATCTCATCTTCCTCAATCTGCTCAACCACACTCCCAGCCTGCACCACATTTGGCTTGCCTCTTCCCCCATAGGTCAGCCTCACAGGAGGGCGCACATCCCTCCTAGGTCGCTCAGGCGGGTGTGGAACTCGAGGTGGAGACTCATGTTGCTGTTGCTGCTCCACTTCAGCTGCTCCCCCTTCTTCAGTCACCCCAGATATCTCCTCCTCAGACACTGCAACCTCCACCTGCCTTGAAGGCTGCTGCAACTCATCTGCCTCCACAATGAGTGGTGTAGATGGAAGCTTCTGTTGCTGCTGCTTCCATTCCTTATAGTACAGGGACTCAAGAAACTTCACATCCCTTGACACTGTCAGCTTCTGGATGGTCAAGTCCCATAGAAGCCATCCCTTGTGATCCTTTGCAATCCCCAAGTGCACACCCCATCTTCCAGAAGCCTCCAACTTCCCTCTTTTCTCCTTAGGCACATGAAACACTACCATGCACCCAAATGCCCTCAGCATATTCACAGCTGGAGCACTCCCATACCACTTGGTATATGGGATCCACTCCTTATCCCCAACTGTAGCCAGCACTCTATTCTTCACAAGGGCGACCTGCCTCAGTGCAGACACCCAAAACGGATCAGGTAGCCCTGCACGCCCAAGGAGAGTGCGTGCCCCCTCCTGCAGGGTCCTGTTGAACCTCTCAGCCACGCCATTCTGCTGCGGGTTGTAGGGCACTGTCAGTTGATGCTGGATCCCCTTCCTCTTCAACTCCCCCTCAAAATCAGCTCCAATGAACTCCCCACCATTGTCACTACGGATCACCTTCACCTTGTGTCCGCATTCCCTCTGAGCTCTAGGCATCCACTCCTTAAGGACAGCCGCTGCCACCTCCCCCTTGCTCTTCAAAGGGTAAACCCACACTGCCCGAGTGTGGTCATCCACAATTGTCAAGAAATAGCGGCTGCCTGAGAGGGAAGGGGCTCTTGTGGGCCCCACCACATCCATGTGCACAAGTGCAAGTGGGGTCTTGGCTGGTCCTGTAGTGCTGTTGAAGGGGAACTTGGAGAACTTGGTCTCCAAGCATGTAGGGCAGCTCCCAATCTCCTTCACTCCCCCTTTCACCTCCAAGCCCTTCAGGCTCCCATCCTTCACCAACTTCTGCAGCATAGGGAAGTTCACATGACACAGCCTCTCATGCCATGTCTCCCAATCGGCCTCTCCACTCCTTGGTGAAGCCTTAGCCCATGCCGCACTTGCATCCACACCAGCAAGCACCTCACCATGTGTCTGCTGCTGCTGCACTTTCTTGACTGCTTCCAGGACCCCATCAGTTGGTGCAGTTGCATCTCCTCCTGCTGTTGCCTTTGCCGCTGCTGCCGTTGCTGCTGTTGGAGTCTTCCCATTCCATGGGATGATGGGCAGCTGCCACAGGTCCTTGATGCAGCTGGTCTCCTCTTCCAGACTCCACAGCACCTTCTTCCCAAGCTTAGCACGGCAGCTGGTTGGTCCAAAGGTCACTTCGGCCTTGCTCTTCTGCAGTCGTCGCACAGAGAGAAGGTTAGCAGACAAGCCTTCAACCAGCAGAACATTCCCAAGCCCCACAAGCTCCCCATTAGCTCCCTTAACCTTGGCATTCCCAACACCAATCACGGGGAGCAAAGCACCTGACGCTGCTGCCACATACTTAATCTTCCCAGGGGGTTTTACCTCATCAAGCAAATCTGCCCGTGGAGTCATGTGACTGGTGCAACCCGAATCAATCACCCAGTGCGTGAGAGGGTGCATCACAACCTTTCCCACAGATCCCACATCACCCTCATGCCCATGCACATCCTCAACCATAACAAACAAACCAGGATAGGCATTACCTTGTGCACCTTCACCTTGTGCACCTGAGCCTTGCACAGCGCCACCTTGTGCGCGTTCACCACTGGGCGGCTTCATGCCTGGAGGTGCCCATCCCTCCAGCCTGCTGAAGCACTTGAACCAAGGATGCCCAACCTTCTTGCAGTACCAGCACGTGCCCTCCATTCTGGTACTCCCCCTGCCACTAGAGCTCCCATGCCCCTCATTATAGTCACCTCGGCCTCTACCTCTGCCAAAGCTCCTCCCACGGCCTCGGCCTTTCCAACCCCCTCTTCCTCTGCTGCGCCCTGCAGCTCCATACCCCTCAGCAGTCTTAGTGGCAGCACCGCCTCCCACATGGCGTCTGCGGAAGTCCTCCTGCAGAATCTGCTGCCTTAGCCACTCAGGTGTCCATTGATCTTGCTGAGAGTTGAGGGTGGGGATGAGGTTGTCCCAAGAGTTGTCCAACACCGAGATGATCTTGGTGCACTGCTGCAGCTGAGATACACTGCTGCCCGCTGCTGCCATCCTTGCATAGGTGTCCTTGATCTTGTCAAGGACCGGCTTCACATCGTCCCCTGGTCGCATGGAGATGGCAGCAAGTTCCTTCTCGAGCACGATCACCATCAGGAGAGTGTTGGGCTGAATCACATCGCGTAGTAGTTTCCACGCCCTTGGACCCGAATCATCCGCTTCCACAAGATCCTTGATGTGCTCGAACATCTCCTTGTTGACCGATTGAAGGATGAGGTCGAAAAGCACCGTGCTTTTCTCAATCCACCGTTCACGTGCTTCGCCTTCTTCCGGCATCTTCTCTTCCCCAACAGCAATCTTCAGTAGCTTGTAGCGTTTGAAGGCACTCCTCATCCGTCCGCTCCATTCCTCATAGTTGGAGCCATCCAAAGCTTCAACTTTTGATGGCGGCGGCTCACTTGTCTTCTCAGCTACAGCTCCTCTTCCATTAGCATCTCCTCCTCTCTCATTCATCTTCTCCTTGAGAAATGACGAATTTCAGCCCCCCTTTGCTGTCCACACTCAGCTCCCTCGATATTTTCACAAGTGTCGGCGTCCACGAAATTTCGGCAGAGTTTCCCTTAGCGGAAGACACATCCAACCTTTAGAACACCACTTAGGCACACCCACAGGCCATGGTGGGTCTAGAAGGGTCTTCACACTTCTGTAGACTCCTCTCAACGTCCTTAATACAGCTCTGATACCACTTGTTAGGATTAAGGACAGAGTCTAGGTGAACTTAGGAGCTAGAATTACTCAAAATATAAATCCGAAATTCTGGACAGAAAAGTCGTCTTCACAAGAAACGACGTCGACAAAACACTAGCCGTTGGAATGTCGCGAAACTTGGATATGTTGTAGCTCTTGATCTCAGCTACCGTTCCCAATTTGAATCACGTTGATTGATGAAGTATTCGCGACGCTATGGCTTTCGACGCACTAGGGGGTAAGCTGTAGGAGGAGAACTTAACTCAATCTCAAGAGTTCAATCAAAGTTCAAGAATCTCACAAGGAATTAGAAGGAGCAAGAGAAAGGTTGGGATAGGAAGAGAGGGATGAGAGGGAAGGTCCCAAGAGAGTCCCCAACCAAGGAAACCCCATAAGCACAAAGATTCCCTCCCTATAGGAACCCCAACTTTGACATTTGTCCCTTCCCAACCAATCCATCCAAGTTGGCCACCCTTGCCAACCTAGCTTGGTTGTTCCCAACCAATTTGCAGCTGTTACAGTAGAGTGACAAGTTTCCCCAACCCCAAAGGTCCCAACTCCATATAAAGTCACCCCACAACTTCACTTAGTAACCGCCGCAATTGTAACGCAAGCTCATGAACTTTGAATCTTCATAGCTTTCGCGTTCTTGCTCCGATTGAAGCGATTCTTGTTGCGTCGGAAAGATCTTCTCAAGATCTATTATCACAAATACCTGCTCAGACAGAATAACACAAAACACATTCCCAAACTCCAGAACACACCACACACAAATGCTTGCACATTCAAACCACACATGCAAGTTGAAAAAACATGGGATGGGAGGCAGACAGAATGTGATAGCATATGATGACATCACACAACAGCCTTAATGGTCACCTTGTACAGGAGGGAGTGGAGGATATTCCGAAGTAGACTTACGATGCCTACATCACGAAGTAAGTTACCACCGTTGAATATTATTCCTGTTATGTCTATCAATTTACAATGAGTATCTAATACTATGTTCTTTCTGACGCAGGTATGGCTTTAGGGAGATGGTGAAAACCATGGTGGCTTTCTTGAAGGCACAGCAGATGGAGCACATCCACTCCTCCCCGTTTATTGGTATCAGCTGCGATGAGAGTACCGACCGAACCAGCGGCAAGCATCTCATCGTCTTCGGCACGTTTCTCAAGAAGCGGCGCTTCGTCATGGAATTCTTGAGCCTCCTCACCATCGACAAGTGCGATGCTGCCCCCTTGCAATCTGTTCTACTGGGACACCTCAAAGGGAGCAGCATCAAACTGCAGAAGATTGCTGACATCAGCACCGACGGGGCCTCGGTGATGACAGGCGAGCATAACGGGCTCATCCCGCACCTACGCATCCCGCACCTTGTCGCACGCCACTACATCGCATATCGGTATGCAGATTGTTTATAGTTCCGTATATCCCTGCCCTTGAGGCTCCTTTACTTATGAATTTCTTGTGGCATGTCTCATCGCAGAGAAGCGTTGGCGGTCAAAGACGCTTCCAACGCCTTCCCATACCTTTTCATCGTCGACGTCATCATCAGCACCTTCGGAGAGATCGTCGGTCGCTTGACGCCATGGTATGAGAGGTTCAAGGCTCTACAGCTCTTCATCCATAACACGAACCTTGAACATCAGGGACTCTACGCCACCAGGTGGCTTGCTCGCGGTGACGTTGTGCGGCGACTGTGAAAGATTCTCGGTGCAATCGTTGTCGACTTCATCGAGTACAAGCACAAGCACGTCGTCCTGCTGAAATCCTTCAAGTTTCACTTCTCCCTGTACTTCCTCGCGGACATCCTGGCTGAGCTCAATACTCTAAATAGGGTTTTCCAGCGCCGCACGGTGAGTTGACTCGTTTTCATTCCTAAAACGACACGTTGAAGTTACTAATGTCTAGGGTGCGTGTATGTCGGGAATTTTGTTATAACCTCTGTGCTATTATGTTTTGCCCTTGCCCTCCCACCCCGACCGTCAGGTGGACATCATCCTCGTTACCTAGGAGGTCGAGTGCACAGCCACATACATCAAGCACCGATATATCGACTACGGGGAGCGATTCGGTGGTGGGCTCAGCAAGCAGCTAGACAAGTTCCTCGCCCGCTACAAGGAGGGCAAGGGGTCGCTCGAGGTGCATGGCATCGTGGCCGATGGCGCTCTCTGCACGCACAAGTTCAAGCTTACGACGTCGCGCATCGCGGGACATGTGTTCGGCGGCACTCCGGCCGACTGCGAAGACCTTTGCTCGGCGTTCACCAAGGAGACCGTGCAGTGCTTGGAGGGGCAGTTGTGGGACATGAAGTGGATGGAGGGGTCGAATCTCTACAAGGTGGACCAGTTGCCCAAGAAGACCGAGGTACAGGATCGTTGGTGCCGCAAGTGGGCCGAGCAGAACATGGCGCTGCTCGACAACAAGCTACTAGGTGAGTTTCTCGAAAAGTGGTCGTTGTTGTCATGTATCATGAATCTGGTTAGATTAGATCCCTATCCCTATCATGAAGACTCACTGAAAGGACGACAACTTCGCCCAGGGCTTGGCCAACATGATGAAGACGAAGGATTGGTTCAAGTCCTACCCGAACCTGATGAGGATATGGCATGTGCTGGCGGTGTTTCCCTTGAGCACAGTTGAGTGCGAGCGCGGATTCTCAAGGCAGAACGTCATCAAGGGATGGCATCGCACAAGCCTGTGACCATCAGCATGCTGGACTAAGACATGGACTACCCCCAGATCGTGGAGAAATGGATTCGCATTAGACACCGTAGGAAAGCTAGGAATGTTGAATATAAGCAAGAGATTCCCCTCTTCCCACAGCAGCAGGAAGCCGCAGAGAGCTCGGAGGATGAGATTGCCGTAGGCGGGAGTGAGGATGATGATGATGATGATGATGATGATGATGATGATGATGATGATGATGATGATGATGATGATGATGATGATGATGATGATGATGATGATGATGATGATGATGATGATGGTGGTGATGATGATGATGATGATGATGATGATGAGTAAATCATATAATACTATGCTATGCTTCATTGCCAACAACTGCTGTCAATACTATACTTTGTGCAACTAGCGCAGTCTCACTAGAGTGGGAGAAAATACCACCCTAACTAGCCAGAGTAAAAATCTTGAAATCATAGGGTTACTCTGATGCCTCAAGGAAAATGTTGAGGACCACTCTGGTTTTCAGAGTACTGGTGAAAGTCACTTCCAGATTTCAGAGTAGTGAAAAACCAAAGATCAGCATTGGTCCCGTAGCATCGGCTTCACTCAACTGTAGCTGACACACTTTCGATCTTTCTTGTCGAGAATGATGAGAAGTGGTTGCAGCAGCTGTTACTGTAATTGAAATCCGTGAAGAGTGGCTATCACAACAGTCGGGCTCAGACGCGCTAACATCAATAAGTGTTACACAAACTCCATCAAATGTTCTAGGTCGACAGCAGTAAAGGGATGTTGCACCATATGATGCTTCTTTTCCAGATCCTTCTCCTTGGAACAAGTCCCCCAAGCATACTCTGCTGCCCTTCGTTTTCACCGTGGGTCAAATCTATTGACGAAATCCTGATCAAGCTGAGAGCACACTTCACAACAGTAGAGGTAGTTATCTCTCCCATTGCCTATTCGGCCTTATTATTCCCTTCACACCTGTCATTAACATTCCTCCTAGCAGTATCAGCATCCTCCATCCGCATACAGTAAGGGCCACTTGTAGTTTCCCAACTTTATGGCCTTCTTGGCTCAATGGGTAATTTTCCTAAAACCTCTTGGCGTCAGCAAACTCTAGAATCGTGTAGGGAGAAAAAATGTGTGTCTTCAATTTCTTCATCAATGAAGTAAATTGTAGAAATATCCTCGCGCTCCATTACGTAGCTTCCCTGGATAATTTCCTATTGGGGAAAATCGTTGGTGTGGTTTCATGCAAGGCTAGTAGGACGTGGACATCCGCTTCCATTGGATCAAGCTTCAGACTGGTCCTGGCCGACAATGATGGTGATGACTTTGCTCGGGTTTGTAGGACACATTCAGCGACCACTTCGTGGCTTGTCCTGATCTTCTCTTGGGTAGATTGGTATTTCCAACCGTAATTTGCAAAATCTGGTGAACCTTCCTAAATTTATAGATTTGGACACAGACCACTTTGTAATCCATGATGCGCACTGAATAGAGCACGTTCTAGCATAAACGTACAGCGACGGAACTTTCTGTTCACATGTTGGTCATGAAGTGGACAAAATCAGAGCCCATGAGAAACTGAGCAGGTTTTTTGTTTTCTGGTTTTAAGGTTCTAGTTGCTTCTGTTATAGGCTTGTGTGACAAATAACATGTTGTCCAAAAAACACACCATAATAGAACATAGAACAACCAAGATCAGAAGAGGTACACTCGGACAGAATGTTCCCAGGATGAGCCACAGTTGAAATTATCAATATCAATACCGTGTCCATCTCCCCTTGGCCCTATTTCTTGCTGTGATCCTCCTAGGCATACAGTCTAACAGAGCTTCACACACGCCAGCCCCAATGCTATCCCAGGTCTCGTGCACCTACTCCCAAGTTTGCAGCATGCCTGTGAGGGGGTGCTCATGCTTGGCGACCTGCTCGATGGGATTGGGGTCAGGGGGGGAAGAGGGCCATTGTAGGACGGCGAAATCTTGCTCTGCTAGCCACTCTTGAACGATCCTGCACTTGGGTTTGGGGTCGTACAATGTACTAGAAAGTCATGCCAGAGATGGTTAAATAATAAAAATCAAGAGGTTGAGCCACCTTGTCCTGCAATATGATGCGATAGAGTTGGCCACCCGTGTGACCATCAATCTTGCACATGTAACCAGGCACAACATACGTCATACATACTCAAACCATGACTTACCCACCCTCATGCTTCACATTCAACTTCACCTGATGCCCTTGGAGAGCAGTGCCTTCGCGAATCCATGCGTCGGTGCGGCTTTCCGAGCAATATCGAGCGATCCGTATCTCGTCCGACCTGATCACCCGCTTTAAGTCGTCCAGAGTCCAGTCCAAATGGGCTCTAGCAAAATACCGACGGTCGCGGCCGTTGCGTGCTGATAGTTGAGACTTGCACAGTGTCTGCACGGCGACTAACTCAGGCAGCTTGAGAGCATTTCGTGCAGTACGAGGGTGGACCTTAACATCGTTATACGATTCCAATGGATACACAGCCTTGATGCCCGTCAATGCGACACCTAACATGATGATGTGTACGAAGGTGCGCACGTGTCATGCTGGGAGCAATCGATATAGACCTGAAGAGGGGACTGTTGGCCTAGCTGCTAGATGACTACTACTGTGACTAGCCTTCATAGCATTTTTTTGGATGATTCGTCTCCCTATTCCTAGCGTACGTGCGATCTGTCGGAAACTCAGACCCTGGCGACAGAGCCTCATGATCCTCTATCTGTGACACGAAGCAAGTGGCCGCGTGCCTACTGGAGGCTCACGGGGTAAGGGGCAAGCATTAGCGGAAGTCTAACCGACTTTGCTAGCTCGTGCAAAAAATGCTCGGCGGAAACAAATCTAGTCTCTGCTCGGGTAGTATTTGTCCACATCGACCATCGAGCCTTAAAGCTTGTACTCGTTATTAGGAAATCGATATCTCCTGGCGTTCGACATATTTGGAGGTGCATCAATTGTTTCTGCATAATGTCCATAGGTTCCAGATTGATATCTATCCATTTATACTTGCAAAAACATCGCGAACTTGCTCAACAGTGCCATTTTGCGGACAAATTGTTCCGTCACTGTAACTGATGATGTCGGTAACGAAGGAAGGATAGTAGCTCGGTTATTCTGAGGCTACATGAAACCAAATGCAGCAAGTGCAAATACTGTAGGTTGGCTACATCCCCCTTTTTATTACGTGCATCATGCATACGGTACTAGTGATGTATGTGCCCTATCAAAATGACCATGTGACGGTGATGAAAAGTTTTGCCATGTATTGTATTTACCAGGATAAAAGACCCTAGGGACTTAACTTGTCCCTGTTGATTTTGGGGGTGTCTTTTGATTAGAGGGACGAATATACGGTAAGCCCCAGGTTCAAACTTATGCAAAAAAAAAAAAAAAAAAAAAAAACAACAGCAGCAACAACAACAACCAAAAAAACAAACTAACCGTATTGAAGTGTGATGTGGAACATTAGGGAGTGGTTGGATGCCTCTTTTGATGGTCAAGGCGTGTCTCGAGCCTTATTCGTACTGGCATGCCGCACGATTCTCGGGTTTGTCACAATCCTACATCTGCTGGCTGGTTCATTGGACATGGATCAACCTCCACATTATGTCCCTGGTTATAGGGGGCAGCATGTCAATTTGCCAGACAACTATCCTTATCATGCTAGCTTATCGTGTGTTGTCAGCATCTGGGCCTCCACCCTGGCACGGAAAACTTTGTCTATAAGGTTTTCCCTTATTGCGATATCCTTTACACATCGTGGCTCGCAGAGGAATCCTATTACAGGGTAGTTTACATTTCATAGGGTATTTACCTTGACAACACCGTTCTTCCCATCCCAACCTTATCTCTTCATAATCCAACTCAGATGTCCAACTGCCATGTGGTGCCCAATGTCACCACATAATCCAACAACTCATTTTCCCATAGTTCTTGCATGCGTTCACCAATATTATCAATCATTTTACTCAGTTACTTCTTCGCATACTTCACCAACATTTCTTTCGCCAAAGTATCCCGTCGTGATTTTTCTCATCTTAACCAACTCCGTTATTCTCCGTTATTCTCCGGCATTTGTCGCGCTGTTCTACGACATTTAGAGGGCTGATGCAAGTAAGCGCTGCTTGTGGCACCTCCACTGCTGCACCGGTTTTGAGGACGTCTGCGATAGCCAACTTTGTTAATTCCGCATGAGCACAAAGGAAGGAGGGCTAAGTGAACCCCACACTAACGTGTTCGTGCCTCTGTTTTTGTTTGTTTGTTTTTTTTTTTTTTTTTTGGCTTCAAGGCCAGTGCCTCAAATTATGTGGGTGCGGTGGACTAGGACCATATCAATTTTGTGATGGTTTCCCACCTACTATGCCACCACTTAACTCCTCCCGAGCATGCGCATCATTGTTCGTAAGCCTGCACGAGCTCGGGCCGTCCATATTCCATCTCGTGTTCCTCTCGCTCCCCCCCCCCCCCCCCTCTCTCTCTCTCTCTCTCTCTCTCTCTCTCTCTCTCTCTCTCTCTCTCTCTCTCTCTCTCTCTCTCTCTTTCTCTCTCTCTCTCTCTCTCTCTCTCTCTCTCTCTTTCTCTCTCTTTCTCTCTCCCTCTCGCTCTCTCTCTCTCTCTCTCTCACCCCCCCTGTCTCTCTCTCTCTCTCTCTCTCTCTCTCTTTCTCTCTCTCTTGCTCTCTCTCTCTCTCTCTCTCTCTCTCTCTCTCTCTCTCTCTCTCTCTCTCTCTCTCTCTCTCTCTCTCTCTCTCTCCCTCTCTCTCTCTCTCTTCCGCCCTTGCTCGTTCTCGCTTTCGCTCTTTCCCTGCATGGTCCCTAACCATATTTTTCGCTTTCATTCTCATGCCCGTACAGGTGGGCAAGCTTCGCAAGATATGCCTTTGGAGGTCGCTCCGGCGTAATACCAATGACCAAAGGTTTGTTTAGGGCAGGGGGTTGGTTGCATGCCTCGTTTCTCCCCTCATAAACCGAGCTATGCTTGCTTTATTGACTTTGGGCGATGCCGCCGATTGGGCATGCTTGCTTTTGTTGAGAGAAACATTTTTTGCTATTGATCGTGAGTAATGGCGTGAGAGCCATGGTGGGCTAGCAGCTTTGGGGGCTTTAATAATTCCCATATAAAGAATGTCAACACCTGGAAACAAGGGCGCGGCACCTATTGCAAGGGCCTTGGGAAAGGAGAGTTCTCATACACGTTTTCAGAAACTTTTCATATGAAAAATGTCAATGTATCTTGGTTTGCCCACCACATGAGCTTCTAGGGTGGGCCTTACACCTTGGCCTTCCCCCCACCGGGTTTTATCACAACAAAAAACAACAAAAAAGCGA